TAAAGAAAGATATATTTGCAAATGTGATGAAAAACTAACAAATACGCCTTAAATGGTTCTTTTTGTGCAATTGGACAGTTTTATGCAAGGTTTAGAGCTCTATACACCCTTTTAAACATTGCGCAATAAATACAGATGAAAACCATAAACCGATGACGCTTACAGGTAGAACAGATGGAGTGCAACATAATGATACTACTCAGGAGTCCACAGCGTTCTTTTAAAGAAAGATATTTGCAAATGTGATGAAAAATCTAACGAATACGCCTCAAATGGTTCTTTTTGTGCAATTGGACAGTTTTATGCAAGGTTTAGAGCTCTATACACCCTTTTAAACATTGCGCAATAAATACAGATGAAAACCATAAACCGATGACGCTTACAGGTAGAGGAGCTCGAGTGCAACTTAATGATACCACTCAGGAGTCCACAGCATTCTTTTAAAGAAAGATATTTGCAAATGTGATGAAAAACTAACAAATACGCCTTAAATGGTTCTTTTTGTGCAATTGGACAGTTTATGCAAGGTTTTAGAGCTCTATACACCCTTTTAAACATTGCGCAATAAATACAAATGAAAACCATAAACCGATGACGCTTACAGGTAGAGGAGCTCGAGTGCAACTTATTGATACCACTCAGGAGTCCACAGCGTTCTTTTAAAGAAAGATATTTGCAAATGTGATGAAAAACTAACAAATACGCCTTAAATGGTTCTTTTTGTGCAATTGGACAGTTTTATGCAAGGTTTAGAGCTCTATACACCCTTTTAAACATTTAGCAATAAATACAGATGAAAACCATAAACCGATGACGCTTACAGGTAGAACAGATGGAGTGCAACATAATGATACTACTCAGGAGTCCACAGCGTTCTTTTAAAGAAAGATATTTGCAAATGTGATGAAAAACTAACAAATACGCCTTAAATGGTTCTTTTTGTGCAATTGGACAGTTTTATGCAAGGTTTAGAGCTCTATACACCCTTTTAAACATTGCGCAATAAATACAGATGAAAACCATAAACCGATGACGCTTACAGGTAGAGGAGCTCGAGTGCAACTTAATGATACCACTCAGGAGTCCACAGCGTTCTTTTAAAGAAAGATATTTGCAAATGTGATGAAAAACTAACAAATACGCCTTAAATGGTTCTTTTTGTGCAATTGGACAGTTTATGCAAGGTTTTAGAGCTCTATACACCCTTTTAAACATTAGCAATAAATACAAATGAAAACCATAAACCGATGACGCTTACAGGTAGAGGAGCTCGAGTGCAACTTATTGATACCACTCAGGAGTCCACAGCGTTCTTTTAAAGAAAGATATTTGCAAATGTGATGAAAAACTAACAAATACGCCTTAAATGGTTCTTTTTGTGCAATTGGACAGTTTTATGCAAGGTTTAGAGCTCTATACACCCTTTTAAACATTTAGCAATAAATACAGATGAAAACCATAAACCGATGACGCTTACAGGTAGAACAGATGGAGTGCAACATAATGATACTACTCAGGAGTCCACAGCGTTCTTTTAAAGAAAGATATTTGCAAATGTGATGAAAAACTAACAAATACGCCTTAAATGGTTCTTTTTGTGCAATTGGACAGTTTTATGCAAGGTTTAGAGCTCTATACACCCTTTTAAACATTGCGCAATAAATACAGATGAAAACCATAAACCGATGACGCTTACAGGTAGAGGAGCTCGAGTGCAACTTAATGATACCACTCAGGAGTCCACAGCATTCTTTTAAAGAAAGATATTTGCAAATGTGATGAAAAACTAACAAATACGCCTTAAATGGTTCTTTTTGTGCAATTGGACAGTTTATGCAAGGTTTTAGAGCTCTATACACCCTTTTAAACATTGCGCAATAAATACAGATGAAAACCATAAACCGATGACGCTTACAGGTAGAACAGATGAAGTGCAACATAATGATACTACTCAGGAGTCCACAGCGTTCTTTTAAAGAAAGATATTTGCAAATGTGATGAAAAACTAACAAATACGCCTTAAATTGTTCTTTTTGTTCAATTGGACAGTTTTATGCAAGGTTTAGAGCTCTATACACCCTTTTAAACATTGCGCAATAAATACAGATGAAAACCATAAACCGATGACGCTTACAGGTAGAGGAGCTCGAGTGCAACTTATTGATACCATTCAGGAGTCCACAGCGTTCTTTTAAAGAAAGATATTTGCAAATGTGATGAAAAACTAACAAATACGCCTTAAATGGTTCTTTTTGTGCAATTGGACAGTTTTATGCAAGGTTTAGAGCTCTATACACCCTTTTAAACATTGCGCAATAAATACAGATGAAAACCATAAACCGATGACGCTTACAGGTAGAGGAGCTCGAGTGCAACTTAATGATACCACTCAGGAGTCCACAGCATTCTTTTAAAGAAAGATATTTGCAAATGTGTTGAAAAACTAACAAATACGCCTTAAATGGTTCTTTTTGTGCAATTGGACAGTTTATGCAAGGTTTTAGAGCTCTATACACCCTTTTAAACATTGCGCAATAAATACAGATGAAAACCATAAACCGATGACGCTTACAGGTAGAACAGATGGAGTGCAACATAATGATACTACTCAGGAGTCCACAGCGTTCTTTTAAAGAAAGATATTTGCAAATGTGATGAAAAACTAACAAATACGCCTTAAATTGTTCTTTTTGTTCAATTGGACAGTTTTATGCAAGGTTTAGAGCTCTATACACCCTTTTAAACATTGCGCAATAAATACAGATGAAAACCATAAACCGATGACGCTTACAGGTAGAGGAGCTCGAGTGCAACTTATTGATACCATTCAGGAGTCCACAGCGTTCTTTTAAAGAAAGATATTTGCAAATGTGATGAAAAACTAACAAATACGCCTTAAATTGTTCTTTTTGTGCAATTGGACTGTTTTATGCAAGGTTTAGAGCTCTATACACCCTTTTAAACATTGCGCAATAAATACAGATGAAAACCATAAACCGATGACGCTTACAGGTAGAGGAGCTCGAGTGCAACTTATTGATACCATTCAGGAGTCCACAGCGTTCTTTTAAAGAAAGATATTTGCAAATGTGATGAAAAACTAACAAATACGCCTAAATGGTTCTTTTTGTGCAATTGGACTGTTTTATGCAAGGTTTAGAGCTCTATACACCCTTTTAAACATTGCGCAATAAATACAGATGAAAACCATAAACCGATGACGCTTACAGGTAGAGGAGCTCGAGTGCAACTTAATGATACCACTCAGGAGTCCACAGCATTCTTTTAAAGAAAGATATTTGCAAATGTGATGAAAAACTAACAAATACGCCTTAAATGGTTCTTTTTGTGCAATTGGACTGTTTATGCAAGGTTTTAGAGCTCTATACACCCTTTTAAACATTGCGCAATAAATACAGATGAAAACCATAAACCGATGACGCTTACAGGTAGAGGAGCTCGAGTGCAACTTATTGATACCATTCAGGAGTCCACAGCGTTCTTTTAAAGAAAGATATTTGCAAATGTGATGAAAAACTAACAAATACGCCTTAAATGGTTCTTTTTGTGCAATTGGACAGTTTTATGCAAGGTTTAGAGCTCTATACACCCTTTTAAACATTGCGCAATAAATACAGATGAAAACCATAAACCGATGACGCTTACAGGTAGAGGAGCTCGAGTGCAACTTAATGATACCACTCAGGAGTCCACAGCGTTCTTTTAAAGAAAGATATTTGCAAATGTGTTGAAAAACTAACAAATACGCCTTAAATGGTTCTTTTTGTGCAATTGGACTGTTTATGCAAGGTTTTAGAGCTCTATACACCCTTTTAAACATTGCGCAATAAATACAGATGAAAACCATAAACCGATGACGCTTACAGGTAGAGGAGCTCGAGTGCAACTTATTGATACCATTCAGGAGTCCACAGCGTTCTTTTAAAGAAAGATATTTGCAAATGTGATGAAAAACTAACAAATACGCCTTAAATGGTTCTTTTTGTGCAATTGGACAGTTTTATGCAAGGTTTAGAGCTCTATACACCCTTTTAAACATTGCGCAATAAATACAGATGAAAACCATAAACCGATGACGCTTACAGGTAGAGGAGCTCGAGTGCAACTTAATGATACCACTCAGGAGTCCACAGCATTCTTTTAAAGAAAGATATTTGCAAATGTGATGAAAAACTAACAAATACGCCTTAAATGGTTCTTTTTGTGCAATTGGACTGTTTATGCAAGGTTTTAGAGCTCTATACACCCTTTTAAACATTTAGCAATAAATACAGATGAAAACCATAAACCGATGACGCTTACAGGTAGAACAGATGGAGTGCAACATAATGATACTACTCAGGAGTCCACAGCGTTCTTTTAAAGAAAGATATTTGCAAATGTGATGAAAAACTAACAAATACGCCTTAAATGGTTCTTTTTGTGCAATTGGACAGTTTTATGCAAGGTTTAGAGCTCTATACACCCTTTTCAACATTGCGCAATAAATACAGATGAAAACCATAAACCGATGACGCTTACAGGTAGAACAGATGGAGTGCAACATAATGATACCACTCAGGAGTCCACAGCGTTCTTTTGAAGAAAGATATTTGCAAATGTGATGAAAAACTAACAAATACGCCTTAAATGGTTCTTTTTGTGCAATTGGACAGTTTATGAAAGGTTTTAGAGCTTTAAACAAACAGAACTTTATTCCTCGCTCATTTTTCCTGATTGAGGTGTCATATGAAAGGGCAGAAACTCAACTTTCTAGAAATGTGAATTTTTCTTTTTGGTTTACTTCCTTCAAATTGCTTTTAATCACTCATGCGTAAAATATGCATCATTTGAGTAGCATCAACTGAAAGAGGAGACTCTAAGCTTTCCAAATATGTATCATTCATAAATTATGGTTGTGATTAAGTTATGATAAAACATCGTTACTTCTCGGTTTCGTTTTTTATGGGACGCACTGTATAACAAATCTGTGTTGTGAGGACCCTACGTCACAACAAATGCATTTCCCTAGCTTCTCTTGTGCTGACCGTTCTCTGAAGAGCAGAGGGGTTGACAACGCTTGTTGTATCTGCCTCCCTGATGAGGTAGCATTGGTCCTCTTCACCCGCCCTTTAATCTGTTGCTAAGAACAGATTAAAGGTTTTTATCAAATACAGGATTTACAGAAGAAATGTTCTTCACCGTCTTTTACCCTTAATGTCACCTGAGTTTCCCAAGCTTATCCTTTGCTGACCGTTCTCTGAAGAGCAGAGGGGTTGACAACGCTTGTTGTATCTGCCTTCCTGATGAGGTAGCATTGGTCCTCTTACCCCGCCCTTTCTTCCCCTATGCAACAGGCTTGGTGTGATATTTGGGGGTGTGTATAGGCATCCAGGGGACTGGGTTGTAGTAGCTGGGAATGGCGTAGCTTGCCTTGTCATGGTAGCCTACGTGTGAACACAAGTGGTAAAAAATACAGCATTTTTTAATTAAGCTTCTGATAGTGATGTAAAAAGCCATTGGCAGTCAACAGCAGACAAACTATCCTCACATTTACAAGTTTGCTGACTGCAAAATTGATTTAGGCATAACTATGAACCACCAGTTTTTGCTACGCAGGCGAAACAAAAATTGTATTTTTGTACAGTGGTGTTTGAAATGTTGAGAATCAATAGAACAGTTTTTAATACAGCAGCAATTGGAGCCACAGTTTTCAAATTAAATACGGTAACCCATACAAAGAAACCAATTCAAACCAAATACAGGTTGGGCAACGTCACCCTGGAAGAAGTGCAACACCACCCCTACCTGAATTCAAAGGGACTCGGTTGGGCCACACATATTGACCAAACTTCATCAAATTACATGTAGGCCCAAATTAGAGTTCTATGCAGCTACATGTACAGTACATGGGACCCACAGCAGAAGTCAGACCAGGACAAACTAAACATTCACAACGAGGGACTATGACAGGGAATCAAGTGTTACAAAGATGCTGGAAAATCTAAAATGGGAATCTTTGAAAGTCCGCAGAACCAAAGCCAGACTACCTGCATTGTATAAGGAAACACATAACACATGGATACCCAGCAATATATAAACTTATCTTCTCATTTGAAAATGGTGCTACGGTACATTCTTTATACTCTTTGCATTGCAGCTTTCTTGCATATTTATGCATCCACAACAACCACTGAGCTGATAAGAGTTTTAAGCAACTACCCAAAGGTTGATATTTAAAAACTAGATATCTTCGAAACAATGATATTTCCACCTTTCAATTAACATCAAATACTCCACTTTTGAAATTGATCATGTCTGGTGACGTGGAGCGTAATCCGGGACCTGAACATTCAAATTCGTTACGTTATACACTCAATTGTCTACTACTAAATGCCTGTTCCCTTGGTAATAAACTGAATGACCTGAAAGTGAGTTACTTCCGGTAAAATAGATGGATGAACTCCGATTCCTGCGATGGTGAAATCTTAGATGTACAACAATATCAAATCTTTCGTAAAGACCACAATCACAACGGAGGAGGTGTACTTTTTGCATGAAAACGATTCACGGCTCCGAGTTTGAGATTCCCAGCTGCGAGTTGTTATGGATTCAATTTAGTTTACCACGAAATAAAGGCAAGCTCTTTTTGGGTGTATGCTATCGTCCCCCATCATCTAATGCTACCTTCCGTGATGCACTAAATAAGTCCTTTGTTCTTATCCCCCACATATTTCTTCTTTCAAATCCATTATTTTATGCAGTGGTTTCCATATTCATAACTCGGTTCCATTTGAATTGGACTGTAGTCGTGTGTCACAGTTGCTTCCTAGGGTTTTCCATCAATTTCACAAAGCAGATAGCGTACACTATGAATATGACGGACAAAGAAAGCGGACAAAATATACAGTTCCTCAGGTAGACAAAGGAACATCCCTTCACTGCTATTATGTAAAAAATATGTAGAACTGGTGTCACATGCATATTCACCATTTTACATAATAGCAGTGAAGGGAAGTTCCTTTGTCTACCTGAGGAACTGTATATTTTGTCCGCTTTCTTTGTCCGTCATATTCATAGTCGTAGATTTACGATTGAATTTATTCCATGGAATCTATTTATTGATGAAGAGAGCATTGATAACACATGTGAACTTCACACTGACTTGTGTTGCAGGCAACAATCAAAGATGTTTATCAAAGGAAATAGTTAGAATATCCAGAAGAAAGATCATCAGTTGGGGGGGGGGGGGGAAATGGGGTTAAAATTTGTGGGGTAAGTATATGCTGTATATCTGGCCCTGTTGTCACAGTTCCATGTTAGTAGTTTTCTGCTGGCATGGATCTCCCCTGATCCTCCCCCTGGCAATTTTCGAATATGATAAATCAATATATATCAAAGCTCTCGACATATCTTGAGCATTTCTCACTCTGTTTAACCATTATTTTTGTGTTTTTGTTGTTTTTGAGACTTTGAGACGGTAGTAATGTAGTAATGCTGATGCGTATTGACGTCTAGCGCAGTATACTTGCTGAGAGGCAGCACGATTTGAATTTTCAAAGTATTCTTTCTAACATCATTAAGTTGAAACAAGGGAAACGCTCTCGGCGGTCTCGCCTGCATTACGCAATTTGTTATGATGAAAAATTGAAGTTGGAACATTAGTATAGGCAGGGTGGCCCATTAGCAGGCCCCAAAAAATGAAATCCTCTGAATATAATCAGCATTTTGAAGTGAATATTGATTAAGAATCATGAACAAATAACAAAAATTGATTCATTTATTCTCATATTAAGTTGTGAAAACATAATCCAAGGCTACTGACCTAAAATGACCTTTGACCTTGTGACCTGGAATTTGTGAAATATGATTTGTGATACTTGATAACCCTTGGGTATAACTTTCATAGACTTTGAACAAACACTTTTGAAAATATGCTAAAAATTCAAAATCTTGATGTTGATAACACAAACAAGTCGAAGTTTGTTGACCTAAACTCACATGATTGGGGATACTTGAGCACCCTATAGTCCAAGTTTCGTTGACCAAGAACTTATACTTTCAAAATTGTATCAAAAATTAAAAAACTTAACCTTAGGTTAAGTTTTTGATGTTGACGCCGCTTTTTTTTTTTGCTACGCAGGCGAGACAAAAAAGGAAGAGCCAGGTTATTCCTTATGTTATCTATTGTTCTGATAATTTCTCATGTATTTCTTTGTTTTTTAACTTATGTATTTTGTCGTTTCATTTCATTTCTAATAACTATAATTCAACTAATTTGACCCCCCAAATAAGTATAAACAAGACCAAATAACCAATGTTTTATCTCTTTTTTGGAAAAATGAGATTTCCATATGTTTTGTACACAAATCACAAAAATGGGTGATTTGGGCTGACATGCACAGACAAAAGGGTCATGTGACTTTGTCCGTTTTTTGAAAAATCTATTTCAAAAGATGCGCCAGACTTGAATCGATCAGAAAAGGTGTGTACTGCAAGGTTCAGGAATCATCAAAATGATAACAAACGTGGACCAGTTTTGGTAAAGTTACAAGCACTATACACAGAAATATGTATATGCAGGGCTTAAATTAATCCAAGGCCACCAAGGCCATGGATGCCCCTTTGATTGGCCTCAATGCTTGGCCTTGGAGATTTTTTGTGCCCTTTCCAATTCTTCTTATTTGTGCTGTAATATAGGAATGTGCCCTACAGAAAAGTGGCCTTGCCCTAAAAATGTTGAAATTTAAGGCCTGTATATGGGACTACATGAACATTTGGCGTAAAAATCCGTCCTGATTTTTATGCTGTTACATGAAATATTTAGAATATTAAGGCATTTGAAGAGCCATGCTTTTCAGGAAACATTTGTTATCTGATGTTCTTCTAGACTTGTATAATAACAATGATAATTTATTTATTTATTTATCATTCTTCGTCATCTTTAAAAGTTTACAGCTGATGTGATCTTCACCAGTTGCTTTATCAATACTCAGATTATCAATCTGTTTCAATACAAAATCCTCAGTAATCAAATTCAAATTAAATTGCGAATGAGTTGGACCAATATTATTGTCCTCGTCTAATGCTCACAAATTATTGTTCACCTGTTCCCAGAACTCAACCTTCTCTTTAAGAGAGCCCTGTTTAGCCATAGAAATTGACTACGGGAAGTGGTCTTAATTCTATACTTACTTCACAAACCCACGCTCCCATTATCCACAATAAAATTATACATATAGAGCAATCAAATTTGCATTTGCAAACTCTCCAAAAATCACATGATAATGATAATTAAACAAGTTACACAAAACTTAGGCCTGAAAGAAAAGTAATTTGGTTGTCCTCGACTGCCAGCTCGTCATTTTCGGGCAGCTCATCAAAACATCACCAAACACTAAAAAGATGTAGATGATTGTACTAAGACACACCTCCATACAACATTTGAAAGAAATCTGTCAAGAAATGTGGCAGTTAGAGCGCATTGAAGACATATTTGACCATATAAAAGACGGAACAATGAGGGCAGCTTCACTAAAAGTGTGGATTGGTAGATTCCATGACATTTGCTCCGGCGACAATTGCTCCGCTGTAAATTTCATACACTAATCGAATGGCTAACTTCAACCCTGGATTCAACACTATACCCTACCCTAAACCTAACCCTAAACCTAACATAAAACCCTATTGAAACCCTAACCCTAACCCTACATCTTAGACGAAATAAAGCCCGGAGCAATTGTCGTGTCACCGATTGGTAACAAGATACATTTCTAATGATCTATACAAAATTTGAAAGAAATCCATCATGAAATATGATCTGCAGAGCGCAAACTAGACACCCACCAAAATATGAACTCTTGACCCTATACAAGACGGAAAACTGGGGGCAGCATCACCAAAATCTATATGCTTGTAGATTATACCAAGATACATCTCTGTTGAAAATTTGAACAAAATCCCTTGAAAAATATGGCCTATAGAGCACACACAAGCCATCCAAAAAATATGGCCTTTTAACCTATAGAAGACGGAACACTGGAACACTGAACACTGGAACACTGAAGATTATACCATGATACACCTCCATACAAAATTTGAAAGAAATCCGTCAAGGAATTTGGCAGTTAGAGCGCACACAAGAATAAAATAATATGACGCGGCGGCGGCGGCGTAACACTACTGAATCCAAAGTACCCCACCGGCATACTGCCGGGGGATACAATTATTTTAAAGATGTTTTTATACAACCCCTGTATGAATCATATTTTCCCTAACGGTAAACCAATCAGTAAGAAAATGAAAGTTTATAAAATTGGAGAGGAGCTTGCAAGATATGTCACAGTGTTGCCAATTTGTGTTTCAATGATGACAATTTTGAAAATATATAACTTTCTTGTTTCTAGTCGGTTTTTGCTCAAACTTTCACTGACCTGTTTCTCTCATT